TGATGATGTGCCCTGTAAACTTTCACTCAATCCACAATAAAAACCTTAAAATAAAAAATCCTATGGAGCACAGTTCTACTCTGTGACACACAAAGTCACTTTGAGTTGGAATCAATTTAATAGCCACTAACAACAACATCTTAGAATGGAATGCTGATTCTGTTTGTGTACACAGGGAGAGAGGGGCCCTGGTCTCTCCAAGGGAAAAGTGAGTAAACTAAGCTTTGACTACAGTTCAAAGAGGAAGAAAATTTTTTTCAAGTCTTGGAATGAATGTGCCCAAATGTCCAGTAGACTAGACATTTGCTGGGGTGGGGGTGGGGGGTTGTGTAGCAAGCATCTGAATCCATTTTCAATTTAGGGAAAGACTCTCTTGAGCCTTGAAGGGAGGCTTGCTGTTGCTGTTGTTGTTGTTAAGTGTCATGGAGTTTGATTTTCACTCATAACTGGCCTTGCAATTCAAACTGTCCTTGAGGTCCAGTGTTTATCCTACAGTGCCACGCAGAACTCCTGAAGGGAGGCAGTACCCTCAATTTCACAACTGAAGCTGGCAGCTTAGGTAGAAACCAGCAAATTTATCAGATCTAGGCTTTTTGGGGAGCTCTGCAGTCACCAGAACCTCAAGGTTGGTCAAGCAGTGGAGTTGAGGAACCAGCATCCACCTAGGGTCTCCTGTGTTCAAGCCTGCTTCTCCAGTCTTTCCAGATTCCAGGTTCCTGACTCATGTTCTGCCAATAAATCCCTTTCTCCCCCTTCAGTCAGAGTTGGTATCTGAAGTTTGTAAACAAATAGTCCCTCCACCCTGACATGTTCGAGGTCACACACACACACACACACACACACTCACTTCTCTTATCAAATTATATGGGGAAACACAGTGAAGGAGGCTTCCTGCGGAGCCTCTGCATTACATAAGACTATAACTGGAAGCCTGAACCACATCCAGATCTTCAGAGATGGGAAATTTCCACTTGAAAGGACAAACAGACCAGCCTGGAGTTGCTAGAAGAACAGAAGATACTTCTTGAAAGAAAGACCTACAGGAAAAATATAAAACAACATAGGCCGACCAACTGTTACTACAAGAACAAACAAGTTGCTTGCCCAGGAGACATCAAGGCAAGGGGTCAGGTCCCCTCAGTGTAAACCCCCTTCCAAGACTAAGACTCAATGGGAATACACTCTCTGATTGGTGACCACACTCATCACCAATAAGGGGAAGAGAAGGAAAAACAGCAACAGAGCTGCAAGCTAAGCCCTACAATGTTCAATAGACTTCTGTGAACCCGGGTGGAGACCTGGTTGGCCAGCAGTGTGGCAAGACCTGGGGATTTTTGGGCCCAGAGTCAATGACATAGCCACAGAGGACTAGAGTGGAGAATGAAGTGTCCAGCTGATAAGAAGAGAGGGCATATGCACAAGAACACCTACACTTGCAGATAATACCCACTTGACATGGCTTCAATGACTAGATGATCAGAGCTCAACCAGAAGAAGAAAAAAGAGGGAAAAAAGAATAATCTGATACCATTTGATGAACCTGACCTACACCTATGGATGCAGTAGCTCAAAAGAGGAACAAATCCTTACAGCAAGGATCATTCCCACCCCCTCCATACACAGAGTAGACAGGGATGGGCAACTTGGACATTGGTTACCCAAAATGAGGGGGAGGGGGGTACAAAGGCAAGAAGTGACTGGCTTACAAGCTTTCAAGAGGGAACCTAAATCCAGAGGGCCTGGAGGAAGGTAGAATCTACACTGAGTAGTATCCAATCTGTTTAGGCGAGGCTGATGAAATGCAATGCAGATGGGTCTCTTGTGATACAATAGTGAATAATTGTTATCAGGACTGATTGTGAGTGTTGGAAGTGTAAAGGTAGACGTTTTGTAGCAAGTTGGAGAGTGATTAACTTTTCAGCCTAGGAACGGAGATCCCTGGGACCATCAAGGGAGAAGAATGGAGAGCAGGAGCCTACCCAGAGAAGCAGTGATGCCTGAGATAGAGGCAGAGATGATGACGAGGAGAGATGGAGCAGCTGGGGACTTTAGATACAGGGGGCGGGCAGGCTTGTAGTGTATATCCTTTGGTTGGTTGATGATGCATGGAGGGGATTGTAACCATAGGAATGAAACGATATATGATAGGATGAATGTAAAACTAATGTTTTCCCATGTAACTATCACATAATTCACAAGACATTAAAAAAAATTTTTTTATGGGAAAACAAATAAACAAACCCCATTTTACATCTTAAGTTGAAGTGCTCCTCTACTTGTCACATCTCTTCTCTACAGCTGTGAAGGAGCGCGCCCCTCTCTCATCACAAAAAAGAGGAATACTGCAGTGTTTAATATCCATAAATTAATTATCATATAATACTCAAGACTTGGGTTAGGCCACATAAGAACATTTGAAAGGAGCATCCTGGTGATAGGGTATAGCGTCCCTCACACTCCTGAGGCCCTTAAGCACCAAACAAACCAGCATCACCCAGGACCGTGTGGGTAAGAAGCAGGGCCCACCAGGCTCACCGCCAATAACTAAAAGGATGGAGGTGGGAAGGGCGGTTTATCCGGAGGTCGGGTCCCTGGAGGCCAGGCTGGCTTGGAGGGCAGGAAGTGATGACCAAGGTCACTCCTGATGGCATCCAGTTGATCCTGGAGTAGGCGGACCCGCTCGTCCAGACTACGCTGCTGGGCCAGGACAGCAGCCTTGCCAGCCAGCAGGCTGCTGTAAGCACGCAGCTCCTCCTCTGGCAAAGTCCGCACCAGCACCTCCCTCAGGGCCCGCTCCCGCCGCGCCACGTGCTCCTTCAGCTCCTTGGCGTCTTCTTGCTGCCGCTGCAGAAGCTGAAGTCGCTGCAGCAGAGAGGCCTGGAACAGTGGGGGCCGGGGCACTGTGAGTGAGGCGGGGTGCCGCCCCTTCTGGGATGGTTCCTGCAGAAGATTCAGGCCCCTCTCCACCCTGCACACCCGCTGCCTGAACCCCTTTTACCCGTTCTTCAGGGTCGCCGTTTGTGCCCACCCGGATCAAGGCACCACGTACGCGGGCCAGGCGGCTGCCCAGCAGCAAGAGAAGACCCAAGACGCGCTCCAGGTCGGCCATGAACCTGCTGAACCGCTCGAGCTCCCGGGGTGAACAGGTCTGTCCTACCGTGGACTCCAGAGCCACCCTGTGCCTGGCACATGCCTGGGCTGCCCCCTGTAGCTGCTCCTGTTCTGCCTGAAGTTCCTGCAGCATCTCTTGGAGGAGGTCAACGAGCTCCACCTGCATGGAGGGCCTGGCTACTCAGAGCTGGAGGCAAGCCCTGACTTTTCAGCCCAGCCTCTGGGCCTTTGCCCCAGCTGACCTCCACCTGCCCCTCCACACTCACCTTCTTGGCCTGGATGCTTTGGGTTGGCTCTGAGGGGCCCTGGCCATATGGCTGGTCAGGCACAGGGTATGTGGTAGAGTTTTCAAGCTTTATCTCCTCCTGAGAAGTTGTTAGGAGCTGGGATGCCCCGAGTTGACTGGACCTGGGGACAAAGACAGAGCTCCTGGGTTGTACTGCCCTACCTAGTGATTAGGCTTAGAATACCCTGAGTCCCTGATGCCTTTTACTCACCATGGCTCAGAAGTACCAGCCTCCTCTCTAGTCTCCCCATAGGTTGGCTGCATTGCAGCCCAGATGTCAGCTAAAGGAATCAGTCCATCCAACATATCCAGGGGTGGTTCAGGGCTAGCGTGGGGTGTAAGGGTGTCACTCAGAGAGGGATCCAGCCTGGCCAACTCCTGAACTAGCTCCTTGAGCCGCTGACTAGGCCATGGTGGCCTGAAACCAGGTTTGCCAGCACCCTGGGCCTTGGCAGTATGGTCAGGAGGCCCTGGGATATCATTGCCTGAAGGTCTCACGGCATCAGCTAGGAGAGGTTTAAGGGAGTCACTCTCTGCAACTGCAGTTGAGTCAGTGGCCAGCAGTCTAGTGGGGTCAGTGGTTGCAATGTCACCAGGGGGATGACAACACGTGATCCTGGAGTCACCTACAGAACCGTTCACTCCCTGCCAGCAGTTGCCTGCCGCTGCAGCTTCTGGGTGTTCATGGAGATGGTATTCTGGGGTGACTGTAGCCTGACCAGTCCATTGGTTCAGGCCAGCTCCATACTGTTGATCATGGGTACTAGAAAGGAAGAAGACACTGAATCAGAAAAAGCTCCAGCCACAGACAAGTGGTAGCTTCTAAAGACTACCTGCCCTCATCCACTTTGATCCTAGAATCAGGCTAGGAGATGGCTTCCTTCCCTTCCAGTGCAAGAGGGTGGGGGTGGGTATCTCATTCAGCTTGGAAACAAGAAGAAATTCACCAGATTGGGAGACCCTGTGGGTCACAGGCGTCTTGAGATAATCTCCTTCTGAACAAGGGATTTTCATCCAGGAAAACTTCATCATCAGGCAGAAAGAAGAGCTGGGTAGACCCCATGTGGGTCTTTGAGGCCTTCTGCTCATAGTCCTCATGGCTGTCCTGGGGGGCTTTTACAGGACACACCCCTGTAACTGTCTTCTGAGTCAAAAACCTGGAAACAGGGACCCCCACATTGGCCACAATGACTCCAGATAGCCACAGTGACCATAGTGACTATGTGTTGCACCAGCGAGACAGTGAAGGAAATGTGGGTGTGGGTTGGGGCATATGGTGTGCAAAAGACAGAATCAGAGTGCTCAGAAGGAGGGCAGGTAAGGGACCCTCTCTTTTCTTGGGCAAGAGATATGAAAGCTGTCTCTCCCAACATTTGTTTCCAGAGTGGTACAAATGTCTTACCTGGTAAGTCTGGTTTGACACAGTGGTCCTTGGGGAGTAGCCTGGAAAAGCAAACAGTTGATAAATTGTGGTGTGGATTTTCAGTCTTCTAGGTGATCCATCCAACCTCCTCCCTCTAGCCTGCATCCCCATCTTCCATACCTGGACAACAGGTATGATCCCACCTGAGCCTCCCCAGCGGCCCAAGCCTGAAATGCTCTGACTCCGACTGGTCGACTTATAGGCCTCACAGAGTTTCAAGGATCCAAAGTTCAGGTCAACTTTGGCTTGGAGCTGGGTCCCGGGCAGCCATGGAACCTGGTGGCCTTCGAACTCAGCACCATGCTGCAAATCCTGGGGCTCCGGCCTGCTGAAGGAAGAACTGCGGCAAGCCTCACTGGAGCATTCCCCCGCAGTCCCAGCGCCCTGACCCATGCAATACAGCTTCCGGGGCTCCGAGAAGCACCATTGCCGCTTCTGGCTGGCGAGGCGCTCCAGGCCTGCGGTTCTTGGCGCAGGAGCCCAGCAGCGCGACCCTTCCACCTCTCCTAGTGGATGGCTGAGCGAGGCGGAGCGCTGGTGCACCGTGGAAGGCCGCGCGGGTGCGGCGGGCCGCAGGCGGGAGGGCAGGCTCATGCGGAGCTCCTTGCGCTGGAAGGACGTCTCCCGGAGCACCCGCTGCTGCGCGCCTTGTAGCCGTTGGCGGTAAGCAGCCCGCGAGGCCGGTGGGCTGGGCGGCTCCGCAGCTCGAGCCGTGGCCTCAGCCTCCGCCGCCAGCGCATACAGCAGCGGGGTGGCCTGCCTGTTGAGCGCCTCCCGGGTACCTTGTGCCTCTGCGAGATGCGGTCCACAGAGCGCAGCTGCGGCCGGCTGAGGCAGCTGGCAAGTGCGAAAAACTGCTGCGGACGGGATGGGGACCTGTGTCCGGCTGCCCCGCACCACGTGCACGTAGTCCCAGTCTAGGTAAGGAACAGGGACAGTCTCGGGCGACGGCGTGCGTGGCTCAGGACCTCCGGAGGCCGCGGAGAAAGAGCTGTAGGCTGAGTCGGCGTGCACAGACAGTCGATGCAGGTTCAGGCTACGAGTGGAAGAGGTCAGGGAGGGGCTCTCGCCCCCAGAACCCAAGGCATCCATAGCAAGGGGATGAGCGCTGAAGGTAACTGATTCCGTGGGTCCTGGAAGAATATAGACGACGTGGTGGGTAAAGAGCCTCAGGTTGGCCTTAGGACAACTTGATGGCTCCTCTACCATAAAAGGGGGGACAAGAGGGTACTGGTCACATGTCATTTTCCTCCCACTGCTCTCGAAGGCATACCCCACCTCTGGAGTTTGGCCGAGTAACTTCAGAGAGAGCATGGGTAGAAGGTAAAGCCCTGAAATCTAGAGGTGGAAAACCTCAATCCTTCCATCAGAGACTAGCCCATTCCCCAGTAGGTCTACCCAGGGCCACCACCTCAGCGTCTAAACCGCTACCTCCTGGGAACAGATGTGTTGAGAATGAACTCATATTCCTTTCCTTCCCAGCCTGCTTCTTCATGTGATCCTAGATTGTTAAAAGATTGTAGAGGATGCCAAGAAAGGAGAGCGGAAGACCCTGGTCATGGGGCAGGGGCAGCTTCCTTTCCTCTCTCCCTGTGTGCCAGTTAGGTTTCAGGTGTTTATTTAAACACTTATCTTGATTTTCCCAACTGTAATCTGTATTTTACAGAATATGACATTAAGGCCCTGAAAGGGAAATGCTTTTGCACGCAGATGGTAAGTGGCAGAGCCCTGCCTGGAATCTGGGTCTGCTTCTAAGCTCACTGCAGCCAGAATCAATTTCCTAGAAACAGATTCTGCTGAAAGCTAGTTTCCCGCTTGCTCCCCGCCCCCTCCACCCCAGCTGCCTAAAGCTTCCAATAAAGCCCAAACTCCTCTATGGGAAACAGTTGCCCCAGCCTCCCTTGAAACTATTAGCACATTCCAGAAAAAAAAAAAATGTAGTCCTTGCTTCTGCGGAGACTCTGGCTTTTGTCTAGGACTGATTGGCTCTTCCCCCCTTCTTTGTCCTACTACTCTTGTTTCTCCTACAGAACTCAGCTGCTCAGAGATCTCCTGACCTTTTGGGATTTCAACAGTGTCTGAGCTTGCTCCATGACAGCATTCATCACTTCATGTCATTGTTGGCTGTTTTATTATTTCCTCCTTCTATTCCACCCCTGAGCTTCCTGAGGACAGGCCCTGCTCTTACTCATCTCTGTACCCTCAGTGCCAGACATGCAGTTAGTGTTCAACAACTATTTGTTGAAAGGCAACACAGGGAGCAGACTTGCAGAGAGGAGACGAGACGTGGAGGCAATCTTAGTAGAAAAGAAGTAGGATTGCTTAACTTCTGCCTAGTCCTCTTCATTTCTCTAGTAGTCTCTCTCGGGAAGGCGGCAGAATAGGTGAGGAGGTTGCTACTATGGACACTGAGCAGGTTACTTACACATTATTAGGAACAAATAGAGCAAGTACAGCTAGGAGCCGAACTGGCCAGAAATCAATACCTCCCCAGTCTTAGGAAGGAGGGCTAGGGAAGGAGTGGATCTGTATGCAGTGCCCAAGCTTGGGATCATCCTCTCACCTGGGGTGAGAGCGGTCTGGAGGGTAGGGAACCCAGCTTTGTGAGGGCTTGCCTTTGCTGAGCTGCTTGGGAGGGAGTGCAGAGTAGAGTGACCTGAAAGATCAAGAAGCAGACTCCTCAGGGGCACCCTCTACCCCACTTCCTTGAGTCCTAATAGTCTAAGTAAGGTTCCTGGTCAAAGTGGAAGGATATAGTGTTTCCTAAAACATTTTCAGCTGACTTGGGACCAAAATATCTCAGTATCACTCAACTAGGGGAATCTTTACGCTGATCAAACCCAGCCTGGAGTGACAATCAGGTCTGAGGACCTCTTCTGCAAGGTATTTCCATCTTTCACTTCAGGAAACAAGAAAAAGCACAGCTACTTCCTGAAAAGACAGTTACCTCCTCTAGGAAGCCCACTCTGGCTGCCCAGCCCACCAGCCCTCTCTTCCCAGTCTTTCTGAACCCAGTCTGGGACCACAGTTCACCCTCTTCATGCCACCCATGCCTCCTTATGTTGGGCTGTCACATCTAGCAGTTCCTCAGGAGAAAGATGAGGCTTTCTGCTCCCGTAAAGAGTTATAGCCTCGGAAACCTTATACAAGGTCACTATGAGCTGGAGCCTACTTCACAGCACATTCACAGTCACCATAATCACATTCAAATATAAACATTTCCTCAAAAAACGTCTTGAAAAAGCTCTTCCTTGTGAGTTACTGTGTTAACTTCAGGATTCTGAGTTCACCAAATAAAATAGCAATTTGAAAGGATAATAAAAATGTGCCCAACATCTCAGTTTTGTTACTAAGCTCAATTTGTTAGGAGGATGCTTTTGTAGTGGTGACCCCAGTAGGTTGATGCCCATGCCCATACAAGATTTCACACTGGGAAGAAGAGTCTATGCCAAGAGGACTCAGCTGCTTTCATAATGTTTGGGGCCTCAGCAAGGGGTTTTCTGTCCAGCCAGACCCTGTGGCTGTGGGAAGCTACACTTAAGTGGCCCCAGCATGGGCTGAGCCACAGAAACTGTACCTACTGTTGAACAAGATGGAGCTCACAGAATTCTGTGGGTGTTTTTCCAAACTTGGTGGAGAGGAATGGGGCAGCATGGAGCCCCTGTTAGAAAACTACCAGCCTTGGGGTTGGGGCACATTTGATACATATTTACTAACTGAATAAAGGCATAAGGGAGAAAGAGGGCACAAAGGTGACTGCAGGATTCAGAGCTGGGGGGACAGAAGTGGAGGTGCCAGTCTCAGGAAGGAGGACGCTAAAATGGGGACAAAGGAAGGAGTTCAGAGCTCATTCAATCTGGGTCCGGTGGGCTTGTGGTGTCTGTGGCAAGTCCATCAGGTGGTTGGGCTATGGGTCCAGAGAGAAGGTGGGTCAAACAAACAGGCAGAGCTAGGTCTTTCGTTAGAGAATGTTGGGGAAATAGACGAACTAATAAATGAAATTTTCTGGTGGGTAAAAAACAAACTAAGGTGTAATACTTTAGGATAAATACTGGACTGCTAATGAAAGGTCGTTGTTTAACCCATTAGCCGCTAGTCAGAAACTCTATATAGGGTTGCTATGAGTTGGGACCGACTCTATGACACTTAACAACAAGGTAATGGGAGGCGATCCAGGAAAGGAGACAGGAGAAGCACAGGAGAATGACCCGCCTCACATGCAACAAATGATCCTGAATTAAATTGTACCTCTCTCAAAAGTCCCTTCTCATCTAACCACTCTGTGAAAGGGTTGTAGTGGCCTTCTCTCCTGACCTGACTGTCCCTCAGGGCTCACTTTCGAGCTCTGTTTGCTCGGTGATCTGAGTCCCAGGTCTTGAATCCCAGCACCCTAGATTAGGTCGGGAGGGGCGTTTCGGGAAGTTCCTCAGTTCTCGTGGACCGCACCCCCCACGCTTCCGGCTTGTGGGCGCCAACAGCGCACCAGGAGTAGCATTCGCCCTCTGAGCAGCGGCTGGTGTGCTGGGATCCAGTCCAGGTGCCTGGCGTACAAAGCGCCTAGCTATGTGCCTTACAAAAGAAACGAGGATCGATGGCGGCACCTTGCGGAGAGCGGGCCGCGGGCGTGGGCAGACCACGTACCTGGAGGTTCAGGCTCTGGGAGGAAATAGGACCAAGTCTTGGCGGTCGCAGGGAGCGGGAGAGTCACCGGGTGCGGCATGGGCGCGGGGTCGCGCGGCCGCGGGCAGAGTGGATGCCCGCTGACCGGCGCATTTCTCGGCCTTTCCTATTGGGTTCACCGTAGGGGAAGGAGAGCTCAGATAGCGAGCAGGGCTCTGCGCAGTCAACGGCGGCGGGAGGAACCGATTGTTCAAGCGCTCCGCAGCCAGTCTGGGTTAGGGCTGGAGGAGTGAGACCCCTACAGCAGCAGACTTTGTCCACACCGCGCGCTCGCCGGCTGCTCCGGCACTTCTCTGGATCTGTCTCCCTGCCTACACCTCTACAAAAGGAAAGGCGCGCAGGGGCCCGATAGAGTACCCCAGAGCACACTCGCTGCGGAGTCGGACACCTCCAAGCAGAACGTACCGGCTACTCAAGGCTCGCAGCTCCCCGCACCCCACCTCCTCCCGGAAAGCGCGCCCGTCGGTCCCGCAGCAGCGGGATCCTCCGCCCGCCCGCCCCCAGGCCCCGGGGCCCCAGCCTGCAGCCTACCTAAGACTCCTACCCCAGGCGCGCTCCTGGACGCCCGCGGCCGCGCGGTGACATCAGAGCCCAGGGCTCCGGCTCCCGACCCCACCTCCAGGCTCTGGCCGCCGCGGGGGAGGCGCCACGTCCGGCCACCGGGGAGGGATCGCAGAGCCACCGCACTGCGGGGGGAGCCTCCGGCCCCTTCACAGCGTCTGCTCACAGGGCAGACACTCGTTCACCCGCCGGGCACTGGGCTCTTGCCCCAGACCAGACAGGTGAGAGTTTGGCGGACCGGTACGAGGAGGGGGCGTCTTGCACACTTAGCTGCTTCCAGTTATGTCTGGCCAGGTGCTCCCAGACGCAGGCGATGGGTAGGCCGGATCCCTGGGGACCTGGACATCCCCCTCAATGTTGGGGGTCCAGACCGGGCCTCCAGGGTACTAGAAGGCTACCCCCTTTTCTTTCAAGGAAATACACCCGCCTTGGGATCTTGCTTCCATCCCATTTCCTCTGACCCTAAAACAACTCTCTTTCCAGACCTCCAGCTCTTTGACTCCCTCCAGCCGCACTTGTTTTCCATTCCTGCCCCCTTTTCTTTCACTACCCAGCATAATTTAGGCCTCCTGGCTTGCCTTTCTTCGGAAACAGTATACATGTTCGCTATGAAACAGAACCGACTAGAGGACGACGGCACATAGCAACAACAAGCTGGCCTGCCTGGGTCAGATGTAGCACCCTGCTGCCCTCAGTGGGTCCTTTGAGTGTTGGACATCTGCATATTCCCTAGGGTCTGGATAGAATTTACAGGCCAGAGTCTGGTTCTCAAGGCCTTTGTCTTGGGGAACCCCCATCATTCCCCTTGGTTCCCAGCAAAAGGAAGTTACAACAGCCAATGAAATGTTCCAAAGAATGCTCTGTTGCCATCCGCTATGCCGCTCCC